TGATTTAAAGTATTCTTATTCTGTATAGTTCCAGATATAAAAATTAAAAATATTTTGCCTACTTTAAGTTTTTTAATAATTTATGTATCATTAATTCACACTGCTTTTCTCATCAACTTTGCCTGAAAAGTAATGTTTTACACCTTTCCATAAAGTTAAATTATACCAATTATCTAAATATTTTCAGGACTCTGTTTAAATTCAAAAAATAAAATGGGCCAGGCTCAGTGGCTCACATCTGTAATCCCGGCACTTTGGGAGGCCAAGGTGGGTAGATTACTTAAGGTCAGGTGTTCAAGACCAGCCTGGTCAACATGGTGAAACCCTGTCTCTACTAAAAATAAAATAGAATTAGTTAGGTGTGGTGGCACATGCCTGTAATCCCAGCTACTTGGGAGGCTGAGGCAGGAGAATCACTTGAACCTGGGAGGTGGACATTGCAGCAAGCCAGAAACGCACCACTGCACCCCAGCCTGGGCGACAGAGTGAGACTTTGTCTCAAAAAAAAAAAAGCAATTTAATTTAATTTAGTTTTAAAAATAAAAAAATAAAAATAATGGATGGTGCCAAAGTGATTGTATGAGTGACAATAAAACCCGAAGGTATGAGGGGCAATATATATATTCCTCTTTAAAGGAACCTTGGCCAGGCACAGTGGCTCACACCCGTAATCCCAACACTTTGAGAGGCCGAGGTGGGAGGACTGCTTGAGCCCAGGAGTTCAAGACCAGCCTGGGCAACATAGTGAGATCCCATCTCTACAAAAATTAAAAAATTAGCTGGGTGTCGCAGTATGTGCATGTGGCCCAGCTACTTAGGGAGCTGAGGTGGAAGGATCACTTAAGCCCAGAAGATCAAGGCTGCAGTGAGCCATGATCATGCCATTGCACTCCAGTCTGGACAACAGAGCGAGACCCTGTTTCAATTGAAAAAAAAAAATTAGCCAGGCGTGGTGGTACACACTTGTGGTCCCAGCTACTCAGGAGCTTGAAGTGGGAGGATTACCTGAGCTGGGGAGGTTGAGGCTGCAGCGAGCTATGATCACGCCAACCTGGGTGACAGAGACCCTGTCTCTAAAAACATAAAATAAAATAAAGGAGCCCTATACATAGGTATAGATAAGATTTTTTTTTTTTTTTTTTTTTTGAGACATAGTTTCGCTCTTGTTTGCCAGGCTGGAGTTGGCCAGGCTGGAGTGCAATGGCAGGATCTTGGCTCACTGCAACTTCTGTCTCCCAGGTTCAAGCGACTCTCCTGCCCTAGCCTCCCGAGTAGCTGGAATTACAGGCACGCTCCACCACATCCAGCTAATTTTTTGTACTTTTAGTAGAGAAAGGGTTTCACCATGTTGGCCAGGCTGATCTCAAACTCCTGACCTCAGGTAATCAACCTGCCTTGGCCTCCCAAAGTAAACAAGACTTTAAGAATAAGTTGCAGGAGCAAGAAGGGGCAGAGGGAGGCATTGGAAAGCAGGACTATGAGGAAACTTTATTGGGTGATGAATTTACTCTTGATTTTAGTAAAGGTTCACAGGTCTATAGATATGTCAAAACTTAATAAGTTGTACACTTTAAATATATGCAGTTTATTGTATGCCAATTATACATCAATACAACAATTTTAAAAAATAATAAATTTCTGAGGCCTGAAAAGCAAAACAATAGTATAAGAATACTGTCTCCAAACAGTCCCAGAAAAAGACTTGAGATACTACATAATACAAGGAAAGGTTTGAGGATATAACCAAGTGACTGATTCACAATTCCCTTCAGAAAAATGGCACAGGATCGCAGAAATTAGGTGGCAAAAATACTAATATGCCCAAATTGAGAACACAAGAATCTGCTATGCCTAGAGCCCCTGTCACTAATTCAGTGCAATAGCATGTGCTGAGGCGGGGCTGGAAGAGAAATCACAGTCATAACAGACAGACACCCAATCCCAGAGGTCATAAACTGACCATCACATTGGGCATCACTGACATGTTTGGTTTGGTCCTCACTGTTGGAAAAATAATCTTTTTTAATTAGTTGCCAACATTTAAAAATTCAGAGATCTCTCCACCCAAATCTGAATGCTTAACCTTTCTCAAAATATCAAAAGATCTGGTAACACTTGGACCCCTATTTCCAACCTAGCAATAGGCCAGGCACTCTGGTCAGCCACAGACTTCTGGACTCAGTCTTCCTATTGTTCTGTCCCTGGAAGCTTGACTCATTTATTGTAATGTTTCAACACTATCTCAGTGCTCATTCCCTACATGAAAGTGAACTACACTTAATTAGAGGTGTAACTCCCACTCCAAAAGGTAAGGAACTTTCCTACCTAAGCAAGCAGTGGCAGCCAACAGAAGGCTAGACTTAAGCATACCTTTTTAGAGAAAGGTCAATAATGAAAACAAATCCTGAAAACCAGTTCTTGGGGCATTAGTTTACAACTTCAGTGGAGAAACTTGTGACAGAATTTCCCTACTGAAGATCCTGCTCAGCCCCAGCCCCCTCACCCTTCAAACACAAATGCATACACAGTCCCAGCTCCTTCCTTAGCCTTCCCCTCCCACATTCTGCCAGGTAATGGAATGGTAACAGGAATTTTTATCATCTTGCCTCCAGCTTAAGATGAAGAAAAATTTCTTTAAAAAAAAAAAACTGGTGAAAAGGCAAAGTTCCCAAGGAATAATCACACAAATTATTACAGGTCAAAAGGGGTCAGAAACCTATACTAATTCAATAAATAATCAATATTTTATTTAATCATTTTATAACAAAAGCATAAATATTAAATCACGCTCAAGGTAAGATTTCTTATTATCACTTAACATTTTTCTAGTCAATGCATAAAATAATAGAGAGAACTATCACAAAAAAGTCAATTTAAAAAACAATAAAAAAAAAAAACCTCTTAGTTTGCGGATGACCTCATTCCAAGAGAAACCACTGAAAACCCATGAAAACAAATAGGGAAATTCAATAAGGTGACTGAATGGTTACAAAATTAATATACAAAATTACAGTAGTTTCACGTCAGCAATAATCATAGAAAAAACAAGAAGAATAAAAATTGAAACATTATAGCAAACAAAACTATAAAATATACCCCGGAACAAAACCAATGAGAGGTGCTAGCACAGTCACATTATCCTGGAGAGGGAGACTTCCTGAGGGGTGATCAACTGTCTAGTTGCTACTTAGAGAGTGGGACTGGACTACCACAAAAGATTGACCCTACTCTCTGAACTGTGCATAAGCCGCCCTGTCAAAGTTCAGCCTGCACATGACCCAAGAGGAAATCATGGCTTGTTTCCCCAGTGACACTCTGGACCTGATCAAAACCTACGCCTCCCGGGTCCAGTTCTGAATCATAGGAAATCCAACCGAAACTGTTCATTCCTCAGAGTGTATACAGGAAACAGATCCAACCAGCAGAGAATCAGGATTCATCACTTTTCAGGAACCGGGTAAAATGTTAAGTAGAGAAAATTTACCTATTCTCTAAGGAAGGGATTTCAAGGAACTCTTTAAAAAGCTTTTGACAGAGGCCAAGCGTGGTGGCTCATGCTTGTAATCCCAGCTCTTTGGGAGGCTGAGGCAGGGTGGCTTGAGGTCAGGAGTTCAAGACCAATCTGGCCAACATGGCCAAACCTTGTCTCTACTAAAAATACAAAAATTAGCCAGGCATGGTGGTGGACACCTAAAATCCCAGCTACTACTTGGGAGGCTGAGGCATGAGAATTGCTTGAATCAGGAGGCAGAGACTGCAGTGAGCCAAGATTGTGCCACTGCACTCCAGCCTGGGTAACAGAGCAAGACTCTGTCTCAAAACAAAACACAACAAAAAAACAGTTTTTGACAGAGAACTAACTGTAAGTGTGGAAATAAGTACATAGGCCTTTTACATTATTATTACTGAACTGAACCAAGAGAAAAAAAATACTTTGGGCCAGGTGTGATGGTTCACGCTTGTAATCCCAGCACTTTGGGAGATGGAGGTGGGCAGATCACTTGCGGTCAGGAGTGATCACTTGAAACCAGAAAGGCCAACATGGTAAAACCCCGTCTCTACTCAAAATACAAAAATTAGCCAGGTACAGTGGCATGCACCTATAGTCCCAGCTACTCGGGAGGCTGAGGCACAAGAATCGCTTGAACCCAGGAAGTGGTGATTGCAGTGAGCCAAGATTGTGCCACCATACTCCAGAACAGAACAAGAACCCATCTCAAAAAAACAAAAAAAAATTTTGGGGCTGGGTGTGGTGGCTCACGCCTATAATCCCAGGACTTTGGGAGGCTGAGGTGGACAGATCACTCAAGGCCAGGAGTTCAAGACCACCCTGGCCAACATGGCGAAACTCCATCTCTACTAAAAATACAAAAAATTTAGCCAGGTGTGGTGGTGCACATCTGTAGTCCCAGCTACTAGGGAGGCTGAGGCACAAGAATCACTTGAACTCGAAAGGCACAGGTTGCGGTGAGCCAAGATCATGCCATTGCACTCCAGCCTGGGGGACAGAGTGAGACTCTGTCATAAAAAAGAAAAAATATTTTGAAATATGTTTATATTAATAGGAAATTTCCAATTAATACAGTCCTCAATATTTCAGAATTTGTGATTGTTTATGGTTTGGTTTCAAGATTATCTTTTTACTCTCTAGACGAAAGTAGTTTCCTAAGAATATTAACTTAGGATTGATGATTTGAAGCACCACAGAAACATCTGTTTATATTCAGATAATTAATATGCTAATTTCTATCTATTAAATTAAGCAGGTTACCTAAGGACTTTTCAAAATAATACTTCATTAGCCTGATAATAATGAATATATATAGTTGAAATAAGAAAATGGACATCTGTTGTAAGACATCCTTCAGTTTAAGCCTTTTACTAAATCAAACCAGTTTTCATACCTTAATTTCAATTATGGAGGTACATGTCAACAAACCAAAACAATACAAAACAAAAAATCCTCTTTTGAGATAGAAAACAAACATTTCCATTCTTACCTTTGATGGTCTCCATTCCCAACTATCACCTATCTGTTGTGAATGTTTAATGAATTCTGCACAATAATGTTGGAATGTTTTTTCTCCAATGAACTCATCTTCTTCCATGTTAAATGACAACTGTAATATAAAAACTAAGTATTAGCATCAACTTTAGAATAATATTGAAAGGAATTCTGCTAATTGATTTATTTCTGTCAATAAACCAAAATTTGGGATGTAGAATGGCCTCAAGGCCACTGAAAAATGGTTTTGGTCAGGCATGGTGGCTCACACCTGTAATCCCAGCAATTTGGGAGGCCAAAGCAGGAAGACAGCTTGAACTGAGGAGTTCGAGACTAACCTGGTCAACATAGCAAGACTCTGTCTATATACAAACTAAAAAACAGCCAGGCATAGTGGTGTGCACTTGCAGTCTCATCTACTCAGGAGGCTGAGGCAGGAGGATCACTTGAGACCAAGCGTTCAAGACTGCAGTTAGCTATGATCATGCCACTCTACTCCAGCCTGGGCGAGAGAATGAGACCCCATCTCAAAAAAAATAAAAAAAGTGTTTTTGTTTTTTCTATCTTTCTCACCTTATCCCCATTTTTTTGTTGTTGTTTTCATTTTTGTTGTTGTTATTTTTGTTGTTGTTATTTTTGTTGTTGTTATTGTTGTTTTTTGTTTGTTT